GATTAGCCTCCTACGGATGGCAGTTTTAAAGCACATGGATTGTTGTAGGGATGACTGGCTCCTGTATGAATGGGCTGGACCAGCCTGCATGAGCTGCCTTAATTCAGAGCCGTGGTAGCACTGGGGAGCCCTTGCTGAGACAAGAATTTTTACTCCTGTCATTATTACTAGGATCGTGGTTATTCTGATGATGGCTTTTGCGGTTATCATGACTAGGACTACGCCTGATGACACACAGCTTCTCTTTCAGATCTCCTATAACAAGCCGTCATCATTACAGGTGTTTAATTTTAGCTGCACAGAAAAGGTGATTTAGTGAAGGTAAACGTCATGAAAAGGTAGAAGATGAAAGGCATGGAAGGGCAGAACGTAGGATATGTGGATGGGGCCCCAAGTCTGTCCTGTAACTGGACGTGCCACCAGGGAACAGGTCGTTGTCAGGGCTGACAGAGCTGGTGGTACCGTGTCCTGGGCCCTCGCAGCATGAACGGTGCGAGAGAGGAGGGGTCGATGCTGGGGAAAATGGAAAGAGCAGCAGCACAAAACCAATGCAGGGGTTTTCAGTTGCTGCAGTATATCAGGTGTATGCACAGAGGCTGGATGTGGTATATTTTGGCTACCACAACTTTGCTGGGACATGTCTTTGCTATCCGTTGCAAACATTAAAAACACAAGAAAAGATTGCTCAGTATGGTTGTAAATTAAAGAAAACCAGGGATGTGAAAACTTGCTGTGATACTCCCCAGCCTGTTGTTCTTGGGACGCTGGGTTGGGAGGACGGCAGCAGTGTGGCTCATAGAAATGGTTGACTAAGACTAGTTCCTCAGAGAGCAACAGTGATGGGTGAGAAAGGTGATAACGTGCAAGATTTTTGGATAGCTTGGACTAAAGATTGGCCTGTGTGGTGTTGCAGGCCTTGATGGTCTTGAACGGCAGAGAGGAAACATGAATAATAAACTCAGTAAGAGCTGATTCGCAGAGTCCCCTGTGAATCTGCGAACAAGAACCACTGTACAAACAGTGGAGCAATGGTCCTCATGAATAAGGAGGAGGGAAAGTGGCTTCTTTCCCCTTTTCTGTCACCGATTTGCTCTGAGAACTGGAAAATATTTTTTGTTGTGGCCACTTGGATCCTCCATCTGAGCCATTTAGTGTTTATTCTCTTTTTGTCAGTGTACATCATCTTTTCCATATGTCTGTGCAGAGTCCAGCATGGTTATTATAACACCCTGGTTTGGGTTGATTGCGATGATGCGTGGATGATGAACACGTGGATGATGGAGGCTTCTTCAAGTAATTCAGTTCATGTACAAATACACATGTGGAGGGTAATAAAAAGGCAAGCAGGACCTTCAGCGGGAAAGCTCTGGAGGTAAATCCACTCCAGCAGTTAGAAACAGCAAACCCACGAAGTAATGGCCAGGGCAAGCTGGCCGTCCCATCCCCAGTGCCAAGACTTTCTCATCTAATCCCTGGGAGCGTTATGAGCCCAGAAGGAGCTCTGTTTCATGTGTTTTCAGGTAATAAAAGTAATTTTTGGCTGTGCTTGCTTTTCTTTTTTTTTTTTACTCTTCAGAAGCTCAATTCACTGGGGGTTACTGGAAGAACAAGAAGCACTCTTGACATGGCTCTGTATAACAGCTGTGATGTGTCCCACATTTTGCCCTGGAAGACATTATTTCAAGTCTTTCACAGTCATAGAAACTCTTCTATTTATCCAGCGAGCTCTGCATTGTTTATCCTGGTCTCCATTTCAAAGCTTTTAAGCAGATGCTGTTATTATCTTCAGCAGGGAGGTAATCATGCGTTTCATGTTAGAGGAAGGGATGGTTGAATCTGGGTCTTGGGGAATGTTTCCCAGGATGTGGATGTGGACTTCCCACCAGCTGCACTTCTTCAGGCCCTGAGCCAGTCCCTGATGGACCCAGTGGGATGACTCTTGCTGACTTCCAAGGGCTGGTGGATGCATTGCTTGGATTGCTATTATTTTACAATATTTTACTGGCAGAAAAAAAGCTCTGGTTTTATGTATTTTTAGTGCTGCGTTGGATGCAGCAGTTCACATATTCTGAAAGAGATGAGAGACACAACTTGAAAATGGTTATAATAAGCAGGAGTATAACAGGTATTTACAGGAGATTTTTCTTTAATCTGTTCTTGTTTAGAATTCTGCTCACTTTATTCAGATCCTAGCAAGTGACAATTTGGAGACGAATGGACAAAGCAGATATTATGTAATGCTTTGATTATTTTTCTTGTGGGAGGAAAGTACGTGTGTTCACATCGACTTCAGCATCGTTTTCCGTAACCAGCGTAGCATTTATTCAATTGTCATAAAAATCAGTTCCTTTCAGTAATTTTGTAATATTTATTTTAGATGCTTGTATCAGTTATAAACAGGGAAAAGTATTTGATGAAACACTTTTATTTCTGTAATAACTCATTGATTTTACTCTGTATATGGTGCGTGGGTGTGTGAGCAGATACGTTCATGGACGTTGGTAGCTGGGTACGTTCCCATTCTCTAGGGTGTCAGAAGAGTTTCTGCTTGTGGGAGTAGGACTTTCTGTCTCACCCAAGTGGTGTATTAGTCTGTTTTGCTCCACGGGGTAAATCTTTCAGTGGAACTGCTGCTCTAGGTCACATCCCTTGGTTCAAACTAAAGAAAAATTAAGGGTAAATTCAAAGAGAAAGGCATTTTTTTAATTTGACCCACTCTCAGTTCATCTGATCGGTTTTAACAGAGTTTTTCTTTTCCTCTCCTCTCCTCTCTTTTCCTCTGCCATCCCTTTAACCCCATGCTCCGTGATTTCAGGATCCCAGACTATGAGTTCTCTAGGAAAATGACTGGTTTCTGTGCTTTGTCACAGTTTGGCCTCAAGTCATGGTTTAAGACTTTTGATTTTTCATGTTTACCGTCAAATTCTACCATTTCTAATAGGAAATTGCAAAGGCATCACGGGAAACCAAAAGGAAAGGAAGACTCATCTCTCTTAGCCCAGGTCTGTTGCACAAGGCGTGGTCGGTGTGCTTTTCGGTATGCTTTGAGTCATGCAATCCTTGTCACGTCCTGAAGTGATTGCGCAACAGTAGAATACAGCAAAGAAGATACTTGTTTTGAGGTCTAATTGAGTAGACCTTGGAGGGGAATTTAACTGAAAATTTTAACCGTCTGCAAGTTCGGTACCTGTGCTCCTTGCGTGGCTATGGAGAGCAAAGCTTCCACAGAAAGCAGCAGAGCCTGTCCTAAGGAAAGTGTCTGGTATGCTTTTCCTTTGTCCCAGTTCCCTATCTGTAAAATGGAGATAACAGTTCCTGCCCTAGAGGTTTTGCAGACGAGATTCTGAGGATGCTGTAGCAATGAGACATGCAATATCTGATTTGATCAATAAACCTTGTATCCTTTGTTTATTGCTATTTTTATCCTGTGCTGTTTTCTCGTAGGTGTGTTGGCACTCATCACAAGCTATGGGCTTTACTGTTTTTGATCTTTATTTTTTGGTAGATTTTGTGAGCCCTGCTAGCTTTTCTCCGAGAGATTAATTAGGATCATGGAAGTGCAGCACGAGCAGCAAGAAGAGCTAAACACCTTCCACGGGATTTGGTCGCTGTTGTTACTCTACTGTGCACCTCCCATGGCAGATTAGAGAAGACCTCTGGGGGAAGAACAAGACTAAAAGACCACCCTGTAAAGTACTTGTGTTCATTTCTCGCTGCTCTTTGCCTTCCCCCACAGAATAAAAGAAGGATTAAGCTAGTCGTGATGCTAGGGACAGAGCTGAGGGAGGTCTGCCATCGTAG